CCGGAACCACCAACATGATGTATTTCTGATAACAATAGTCGTTTCTGCACGTCCTATTCTCTCTAGCGTATACGTGTTTATACGCACGCGACTAGTAGCACGCACACGTTCATGGCGCATATGTAAAACATTGTGCGGCACACACTGATGTCGCGCTCAGCGAGATTTTCAGTATCATACTGTTGCGAGTCCCTGCTCGTTCCCTTATACGATGCTTACATATACCCAATCCTCTCTCCTTCTCTTTTCATCTTGTTCTTCGCGTGTCTCGTCTTCTCTCTCTCTCTCTCTCTCTCTCTCTCTGCGATGCTTCTCAGTTATCCATCACAATACGCTTTAAATTTCTCGAGGCTGACTTCGGAGAAAATGTCTCTATACGCAATCTGTGCTACGCTTAGATTAACAATACCCTTAAATCGTATTGCATTTTCATGTGATCGAATTTCTATAATATTTTCCTTTTCTCTCTTTTTCCCTTTCACTCTATCAAATGATATTTACGCGATTTATAATTGTGCGAAAAAACGAACGTTAATGGTCGGATCAACAACAACCGCGTCGGCTCTTATTGGCCTATCTTTATATTCCCTTGATTGTATATCACGAGAGTCTAATACATATTTAATCTATTTAACTTGGAAAAATTGCTTTTCTGACAGTCCACGTATAAGCGTGCGTCGCCATGCTTTCGACACCTGACCGGCGGCTGCAAATGCGACACAGGTTTCTGCTCGAGACCGTGTGGTCTCGACTCCTAGGTCTGCGCTCATTAGGGGTGGTATGCTCACCGTCTCAGTCACGAGGCAACACACGATCGAATCCGACCGTCCATCGGTACAACCGGGGTAGCGTTCGCCGTCTTCGTCGTGCATTCGCGGCACCGGATTCCTCGCTCGGCCGGGACAGTATGTTCGCTGCCACCTCCGAGTATTCTGAACCTCGCTGCCATCATATACGATCACGACGTCGTGCGGATCTCGGAATGGTGTATTCGCCACCTCCACAGAGTATACTCGGGCTTTCAATCCCGATTGTAAAGCGACAATATCGTCATCGTGGGCGAAGTTAAATCCTCGACAATACCGGTTGTAAACCGAAACGACGCGGCGCAATAAAGCGCATGCCAGCGCATCGACACGCGCCACACGTATCGCTGCCGTGAGCGAAGTTAAATCTCTGACAATGATAACACCGGTTTGTAAACCGAACCGATTCGGCATAGCAAGCGCACGCCGGCATTGATGTGCGCCACGAGTATAAAAACAATCACGCGCTTTGCAGCGCGACGACAACGCTGTGCAATAAGCGAAACCATTGTAAACGAAGAGACCACCGTAGACCGAATATCTAGAATATCCGTTTCCGCCCGAAGCGAGAATGATAAAACCAACGTCATGTTTATTGCCGACACCGTGTCCGAGCATCTTTAATATTGCAACCCCGTCCGACCGCTGAGATTAGAATAGAACTCACGTGCCTAAATTCGTTCCGCGATTCCGATCGTACATACAGCGACCATCGTTAATTGTATACCTTGTGCCTTCCTCTGGATCACGAAAAACCCAGCTAGTGCGAAAGCAACTGCGATCGCTCCGATCGATCCATTTCCAAATTGTATCTCTTTTTTTCGTTTTTGTTTATTCATATCATTAATATGTGCCAATTAAATTCTCAACTGTCAGAACAATTCGGCCTTTGGTTATTCTTCGAATCCGGCGAGCTAGTCCCGGGTATCGCCTCCACGAAATAATTATTTTAATCATCGCCGCTAATGACCGGCTATGAGATCGGACCGTTTCAACTGTCAAAATAATAAAATATAATATGAGAGACGAGAGAAGGGTCTTATAGACAAAAAAAGTAGTTGCATTTTGAAAGATGTTTCAACTAAAATCTATCGGACCTATTGAGATCTCCTCGAAGTCAGAGACGGAATTCTTTACAAAAGATAGGAAACATCCAATTTAACTCTGAATAGTGGGCTTGGGAATTAAACTCATTAAAATGTTTAAAGCAATAAATACTTTTAGTTCATTGTCTGTAACTGGTACAAAATCTGCGTTAGTTGCTCCATATTTATTTGTTTCCGAAATTATTGGGTTGTTCGGAAAGTAATTTCGTTTTTTCCCGACAGAGGATTTAATTGTATTTTTTCACAGCTAACTTCACACTTAAGTCGCATTGTCATTATATGTTTTGACAGCTGATATAGCAAGGCTTGTGTGTGAATAAGTTCAATTGATTTTACGCAGTAGTTTTTGGTCGGTGCCCTTTTAAATATGGAGAGCAATAAGCAGCATTTTCGTCATATTTTACTTTTTTACTATAGAAAAGGTAAAAATGCTGTTCAAGCCAGAAAGAAATTAAGCGATGTGTATGGAGAAGATGTGTTGACAATACGCCAGTGCCAGAACTGGTTTGCAAAATTTCGATCCGGCAATTTTGATGTCGAAGATGCATCACGTTCTGGAAGGCCGGTTGAAGCTGATAAAGACGCGATAAAGGCATTAGTTGATGCAAACCGACGAATAACAACACGTGAGATCGGTGAGAGGTTAAATTTATCGAATTCAACTGTTTATGACCACCTGAAAGGCCTCGGTTTTACCTCGAAGCTCGATATATGGGTTCCCCATGTCCTCACGGAGAGAAATTTGTGTCGTCGCGTTGACGTCTGTGCTTCACTCCTCAAACGTCACGAAAATGATCCATTTTTGAAGCGCATCATTACTGGGGACAAAAAATGGGTTGTATATAACAATGTCAAACGCAAGAGATCATGGAGCAGAAAAGATGAACCGGCTCAAAGCATTTCAAAAGCCGATATCCATCAAAAAAAGGTGATGCTGTCTGTTTGGTGGGATTTTAAAGGAGTCACTTTTTTTGAGCTTTTACCGGATAACACAACAATTAATTCGGAAGTCTACTGTCATCAGCTGGACAAACTGAATGATGCACTTCAACAGAAAAGGCCAGAATTAATCAACAGAAAAGGTGTAGTGTTCCACCAAGATAATGCGAGACCTCATACAAGTTTGGTCACTCGCCAAAAGCTTTTACAGCTTGGATGGGATGTACTGCCACACCCACCATATTCTCCAGACCTGGCCCCTTCGGATTATTATTTGTTCCGGTCACTGCAAAATTTTTTGGACGGTAAAACCTTTACCTCAAATGAACACGTCAAAAATCACCTGGATCAGTTTTTTGCCAGCAAAGACCAAAAATTTTATGAGCGTGGAATCATGCTACTACCAGAAAGATGGCAAAAGGTGTTGGATCAGAATGGCCAATATATAATTTAATTAAATATTTATTCATTATACGAAGATCGTCTTTCATTTTCACCACAAAAAAACGAAATTACTTTCCGAACAACCCAATATTTTTCTAACTAATTCTTCGTTAAAAAATAATTCAAACACTTCCCTTCTCGACAGATTTTGTGTATTTACACCGCTCACGCTTGAAAAATCATGTACGATCGGCGTATGATTTTGGGGTTTCCATACGTAATCTCCATTTACAAAACTACCGCGTTGATCAACTTCGCTGTCATCATTTAATGAAATACGACGGATACGTCTTCGAGTATATCCTATTTCTACACTTGAATCCGAATCGTCAAAATAGTCAGAATCCATTGGGGCAACTAAATTTTATTTTAAATTATAAAATTAGATTATTTTTTTAATTTGGATATAGATTGGCGCTACTTACTCTTAACGGCAGTTAGAAAGATCTACACAACAATTAACGAAAGTAAAAATTGTTAAGAGTGCAATGAAAATAGCTCAAATGCTCACAGATTGACAACAAAACGTAAACTGTGTCATATGCGGAATATTCCGCGCTCGGTGATAAGAGACGATCGTCATGCGCGGAATATTCCGCTTATGGATGCAAATGGGTTTACACGTACATGAGTACAATCAATGTACCCTATAACTTGCGGGAAATGAGCTATATTATAAAATTCCGTTTGCAAAGCTGTTGCATCAGGAAAATATATAAAGTGTAGCAGGTGAGCTGCAACAGCCTTGGACCAGCCTTTGCCACAATTCACGATACTGTAAGCTGCAACACTCCATGCAGGTCACATATGCATGAATAATACATAGTGTAAAAATTATTATATAATAACAAATATACATTAATAATAATTATTATCATTGTACATATAAAATTATCATATATACATCTATACATCATTATCATTTGTACATATTAAATATTATATTAATTATTATGTATATGTGCATATTTAATGTGCATATTTAATTTATATATATTGTTAATAATTTTGTACATATACATAATTATATATAATTTTGTATATTATTAGTAAATGTTGGACCCGATGACCTTGACCTTGATATTGTCAAGGAAATGGTCCTAAGTAATAATCAAAAGGTTTTATGCGTCGCTCACTGTTCATTAAAAAGAGTTATTGCCAACATTTATCATATTATTAACTATTATTATATATTCTATATAGATTAAGTTATTTATGCAATTTTAATTAAATTTTCGTTAATTAGTCATGTATTGTAATCGATACAAAATATATATTTGTTATGATAAATAAAACAAACCTAACTCCATTTGATAACATCCTTTGGCATAAAATCTTAAGGCGGTCAACACTTGTAACGCTGGCGACACATCCTTCACATACCCAGTTTGGAAAAGTAACTGACCAAGCCTATCACGAAACGCACTGCTTCTTTCGGCAATCTGTACCGATTGCGAAATTCAATATCACTTAATATTTCAGAGTCAGGGAGCTGATCTTGCTGCACGCTCCGTCCGGTGCTACGGATGCGTTCGCTTTGGACGCGCTTTAAGCGCTTATAAGCTTCGCTTTCACTGTTTCCATCGTGAGCGCTCACAGAACGCGTAATGACGTCATGCTTCTTCCATTCGAGGTAGGGCAGCGTGAACACTTACAGCGCGTGAGCGTTCAAAGAGAACGCACTCTATATGCCGATGGGTGTAATGGCACCCTTATACAACTGTTCTGTCATCTATCGGCACTCACATGATTTATAAGCCATAACAAAGAGAGGTTATAGACACAGTTATAGGCACAGTTCGAAAATAATATCGAGTGAAATGTTATCTTTCGCATTAAGTTACAGGATCTGTCGGGTCTGTCGTGAATTTAAAAATGTGATGATGCAAAAGAGGACATTTTTATCGGAGGCATATCGTTGCGATGAGGCATGGAATCGCAGGTTTAATTCCGCATTGCTGCAAAAGGTCGACCATGCAACGATGTTTATCTTGCTCGAACAAAGATACGCGAATGTCGGTAAAATGAGCGCCGTTGACGTTGACATTTTCATCAACAGCGTCAACAACGATACTTACATTGACGAGGCGATAAAAATCGTACACAACCTCCGCATGTCACCTGAGGCAACCAATATTTTAGACTCCACGCATCACGCTTTGATACGATATCTCTGGCGATATAACCGTATCGAGGAGTTGCACGAGGTTCTCAATGACCGGTTGAATTATGGCATCTTCCCTGATTACTTTTGCTACAACTTACTTATGGATGATTTCATAAAGAAGCAGGATTTTGCATCTGCTGCGAAGATAGCAACTTTGGTTATGCTGCAGGAAGAAACGGGTCATCCTGTCACAAACGCATTGTGTCTCTACTCTTGTCACAAATACCTGGAGAATCCCAGAGACTGGAAGAAACCTGAAGTTCCAGTAGATACCTCCAAGGAAGAGATTAAGATACGCGTGGCTTTTATAAGAAACCCCTTTTTTGATGATCACTTTGATCTTACCGATCCGAGGGATCTCGTTGGCAAGACATTGAGTTTTCATGGAAAGCATTTGGCAAATGTTCTAGGAAGAACTTGTCAATTGAGGGGTTTGATATTGTACAAAAAGTATGATCAGGCATTGTGCTTATTAAAGGAATGGATGGAAACAGTACAGGATCAGATAGTTTACGAAGAAGTATTTGAATTGATAACCAAAGACAATAGTGAACTTCAAGATGAACCTTCGGAGCAACTGAAACTTGTGGAAAATCAATTATCCGTTTTAAAAGGAAAACAGAATGACAAGGGAAGTTTAATAGAATCAATGGAGAATATGATCAAGTCGGCTGTGAAAGAAGAAGCTGATAAAGATATCTCTAAACAGTGTCAGGTAAAAAAATATTGAAATATGTTTATTTGAATTAATATATTAATTATATCTAATAGGTTACATTAATTAAATATTCTAATTTTTAAGGTTTATCTTGATTGGGAACATGTGAGAACTTCAGTATTGGAGGAACAGATGAAAGCAATAGATAAACAAAAGAGAATAGCCAATATAGAGAAGATAAAGAAGGATCTGAAAGAGAAAGAACAGCTTTTGACATTCTTCGAAAACGAGGAACAAATTGAAGTAGGAATAGAGAAAGTAGAGGAGGAAGATCGGAAGGAGGACGAACGTATCCACGCCATGCATAAAAGCGCGAAGAAATTGAGAAAATTGATTGCCACAGAGGCTTACGTACCACCAGATGTTAAAAGTAGAAATTAAGAAGCTATGTACAGGAAGATGAGAGACGACTAGAACATGTATATCTATACAGAGGGTCGAAAAGAAGGAAAAAAGAAAAAAAACGTGAATTGTTATTTTATTGTAATTTGATATCACCTCTTATTTGATAAAAAATAGCTTGAACATACAAGTATTTATATAAAATATAAGATTAATTCTATCTATATTTCTTATACGCTTTGTATTGTCTCTGACGAAATAAAGACTCAGTTTTGGTAAGTTTTTATAACTATTAAGCAGCCCAGAAGTAGTTGAAAAATAATATCTAGTCATTCGGTATAAATACTTGGATTTTCAATGTGTAATGAAATATTCATTTTACAATTTACAACTATCTCGAAGTTTTTCAACGCTGTGTAACAGATCTACGATGAACTATATTAGATATTTTTATATTTTAAATATATTTGATCATTTTAGGTATCTAAATTGAATTTAAAAGCTATAAAATGAAGTGTTCTCGATTGGAGCATTCACACATTCGATATGTACAAAGCTGTAAGATTTCTGTATCAGATAAATATTTACATTGACAGCTAGAGATGTCAATTAAAAAATTTCTAATCGTTTTCGTCGCGTGACATTGAGCAATGTTCCGATTTCTTTTACCGTACTAAAGCATTTGCAATTCGGTGCGATAAGGCGGATGACTTCGTGCCGAAATTATCTAAGTAATATTTCTGCTAAGTAATATTTTTATTATTTGTTTCATCTTTATGTCCGTCTTTGTCTTATCTTAGCCTATATAGATGATATATATCATGTTAGTAAGACAGAGGCAGCGAGATGCTACTTAGACGTGACTTTTCTCGCACAACCCCTCTAAAGCCAGCGGCACACGATGCTCGTTTTCGTGCTGGATTGCTTGCAGGACGGAAATACTGCGTTTTGATTGGTGTATTATTATCCATTTTTGGAAATGCACCGAGCAGACTGCAGTATTTCTATCCAGCAAGCAATCCAGTTCGAAAACAAACCTCGTATGTCGCTGGCTTTAACAAGCCGCCTCCACCAGTATGTTCTTTAGTTCAATGCCATTATACGTAATAAGCCGATGGACTCGCACGCGATGCCATCTGATGAAAAGCGATTACTAATTAAAAAAGCACGTATCAGGCAGCCTGGTGAACTGCGATATCAGAGGATCACGGATTAAAGATTAATTCGAGTGAATTAAGTAATTTCAATTTTGTCTTGCTTCGTCCCGGTTGGTCAAATTCTGATCTTTAATCCGTATTCTGCAATCTCCGATATTTTTAATTGATGCAGGCATTTAGCATTTGCATTTGCGTCAAGACATTCTTACATTCTTAGCTTTTTTTCATGTATAATATCTGTACTTGTTTGCAATCTCTTTTTTACCTTTCTATATGTGTGTGTATGTGTGTATATCTATCAAGTTTCTTATGTGCATCTATTTCATTTCAAGTGCTGAAAGTACATCTGAGTGCAGTTAAAAGAATCGTCACGACGATTGTGCCTGCTTGAAGAACCGACTTATCGCAGCGGGAAGGTACGAGAAATTTATCTAATGTGACCAATGAGAATGAGAATGCAATAGCGTTTTTATCATAATTGCCTCTCTGTTATATAAAGGCCTGATAAGCAAGACCGAGCCATTTGAAGCTGCAAATTGTGCAAAGTTGCATTTCAATATTCAATAGTGAAGGACAGGAAGGTAGTCTAGATTTCCTCCCTACATTCATCATGTCAGAAAAAGGAAATATTTTATATGAAGATGACATAATGTCGGAATGGAAAGATTTATCATTGGGGCAATTATTGTTAAAACAGCTAACACTGCATGGTACTGGTGTGGCACAAGTAAGTATATATATTTAATTTTTCATAATTTTTCCATAATTTTCTGCTTATATTATTATCTTATTAAAATAGCATTTTTATATAATATGAAAATAGCATTAGCATTTTATATAATATAAAAATAGCATAGAAATAGAGCATTTTATAATTTTGTCTCATACATATATGTGTGAATTTAGTGTATTTGTTTTTTATCTCATATTGTTAGTAATTTATATTATCAAGCCTATTCCTTGCTTCCCGTTTCTTTTTATGTTTCATTCTTTTTTCAGTACGAAACATTATCTTTTCACTTAAATCTTCAAGAGAATTTTAAATTTATTCATATTGACTGACATTTAAATATCATTATATACAGGATGAATCATGCAACATGATCAGTTTAATTTATTCTGCTGTTAATGCAGCTTTAAGATGATCTTAAAACTCACCTTAAACCATGTTAAACACAAAATTTTCAATTGGCCCACTGACAGCAGAGTAAACTAAGCTGATGTGTGGTTCATCCTGTATTATGACTTGTAATACTTTACAAGAATCAATTTATATATATATATATATATATGATGTGTGTCATATAGCTTACACATAAATATTTTCAACAGGTGAATGCTCATACAGACAAGGGACAAACATTTGAATATATGCTAAACACTAGTCGTAAGTTAGCAGTTTTTCTTCAAAGAGAAGGAATAAAGGCAAACGATGCCATTGCTATATGCAGTGAAAACAATCTGGAATTTGGGATTGCTACGTGTGCTATATTTTATTTGGGTGGTGTGGTCTGTCCGTTAAATCCACTTTATTCGGAAAGAGAATTTAAACATGCATTTGGCATTTCCAAGCCGAGATACATATTTATTTCTGAAAGTGCACTCAATAATATAAAAAATATAATCAAGGATCTATACTGGTCACCGAAAATATTGATGTTAACTGAACATAACAATATCAATGTAACACGGATGAACCTAAGTAAAGCGATATCAAGTGTGTCTGATAATGACATAAATTCATTCCGAGCTGTTCCCGTTGATGTGAATAACCATGTAGCGGCAATTTTATGCTCAAGTGGAACTACAGGACTACCCAAAGGTGTCATGTTGACAGACAAAAATTTTACTACAGCCATAAAACATGTGATAAATTTACAATATGACGAAGAGAAATTTCCAATTTTAGCGTTGCTACCATTTTTCCATGCATATTCCTTTGTTATATTGCTCCTCAGACTTATATCTGGAGGCAAGTGTATAGTTATTTCACGCTTCGACGAGGAATTGTTCCTGCAGTGTATAGAGAAGTACAGAGTTCAGAGTTTGCTACTGGTGCCACCACTCATGGTGTTCCTGGCTAAACATCCACTTGTAGACAAATATGATTTATCATCCATCAAGACAATAGCATGTGGAGCAGCACCTTTGTCAGAAGAGATTCACAAGGCTGTCGGCAAGCGATTGAACGTTTCCGAAATTAGAGAGGGTTATGGATTAACGGAAACTACTTTAGGTGTGCTTTGGTCAACAGGTGATAACACAAAACCAGGCCGTTTTATATTAGCTCCCGGCACATCGGCAAAAATTATACCGCTGGGAGAATTCGGAACGGATAAAACTTCAGGACCAAATTGCAAAGGGGAATTATGTTTCAAAGGAGATTTAATAATGAAAGGCTATTGTAACAACGAAGAGTCCACTAGAGCGACAATTGATAAGGATGGTTGGTTGCATACAGGAGATGTGGGATACTACGATGAGGAAGGATACTTTTACGTCGTTGATCGTATAAAGGAACTTATTAAATATAAAGGCTATCAAGTTCCACCGGCTGAGCTCGAAGCGATCCTGTTAACGTGTCCTGGTGTGACAGACGCAGCTGTAATTGGTATTCCAGATGAAAGGGCTGGAGAATTACCAATGGCTTTTATTGTGAAGCAAGATAACTTTAACGTATGCGAAAAGGACATAGTCCAATATGTTAACGAGCGCGTGTCAAGTCCTAAACGACTCAGGGGCGGCGTAAGATTCGTGAATAGCATACCAAAGACCGCGTCCGGTAAAATACTACGTCGACTGTTGCGCGATTTTTCACGATCGAAGCTATAAACGTGCCAAATACCTATTTCCCATGATATGTATCGTTTATTAATACTTTTTTAACGATATGAAATTTATAATTATTGATTAAATACAACTAATATAATGGTGATCGATTGATTTATTAGCGCAAGGATATTTATATTTGTATCAGGTAACATATAACAGTGCATTCTGTAGAGGATACTTGACACGAAAAAGTGTAATAACATTATAAAGTTATATACATCATAATAAAAGTAGAATTTTTTTCTCAGAGGAAAAGCTTTATAGGTTATTATTCGCGTAACTTTCTTATTTTCGGTTTTAAACTTTTTGCAATCGGTCCGTAATTGTAATGAACTATTAACAAAAGATTCGTGGAAAATTTAAATGTTTCTTTATGTACGTTTTTCATAGCTTAATAATTCGACAACAGTCTTGGAATTTTCTCAGTATTTTCGATACGTTCTAAGTAAACATTTTAAATTTACACAGCGTGATGCTTTTGCATTTTTCATAAAGAAATTCTGTTCTTATATTTCCTGTCAAACGTTCTATGCATTTTCAGTAATAAAGTAATAAAGAAGTAAGTACGCATTAACTCATACAATACAATAATTGGAAAAGTAATTGTGGTCTTTCCTTTTATACTACATTTAAGACAAGTTTACAAAAATGGAATGCCAATAAATTCACTTGGGCCTGAGTGTTAATTGAGGCACTATATTCATTGTATTATTAAGAAAATACATGAAGAAAAAAAAATACGTTTCTTTTTATAAATACATGTGCTGTAATTATCTTTAAAGAAGACAAAAAGGAAAGGATTGCAAATTTTACGCGAAAATTAAGATATAATCGGTTGAAAAATTCGTTTTTTGTTCCGATATAATGCACTTTGCACATTTTAAAAATATCTCGTACATTATCACATTAATTAAATAACCCACTGATTTCGTTAAAAATGAGTAAATTTATAAAAGTCATAAAATTACATAAGTTGCATCTTCATGTGCCACTAATTCTTTATATATTCAGAATTAACGTGATCTAAAGAAACAAAAATAAAGAATAAATATTTTATAAATTATGTTTATCACTTTGTGATAATTTATGAAACTATTCGTACATAACTATTCATATATAAATGTACGGTTGAACGCTTTGAAGGCATCAATATGACTGTATAACAGAATGTTTTGAAGCATGTTATCTTATGTACACACACACACACACACACACACACACACACATGCGCGCGCATACACACACACGGTGTTCCGAAGCAGTCAAATACGTATTTGACCATAGTTTTCTTGATCAATTTAGAGACAATTTTTCCCAATCAAAAATGTCATCATTTTTTACACTTAAAAAAATCTTTAATACTGAATTTTTGTGAAAAATATTCAAACGTGTTAATTGTACGTGTGTGTGTATGTGTGCTATAAGAAATCATGTTTAAGTGTTAAACGTTCAGAGATAACCAATCAGACTGTCAAAAATTCGCGCACTCAGTGCGCACAATATAGTACAATGTAACCAGTGTATACAACATGCACGTTTGCGCGTGTCTCTCTTCTCTCTCTCTCTCTCTCTCTCTCCCTCTATATATATATATATATATATATTGGATGTATATAAAAATATATTTAACAGAATTACATGCAATTCAGCAAGAGCATCTAGTATTCTTAATTGCCTTTATGATATTATTTACAAAAACAGAAATCGAGTCTGTAAAGTCTATTTCAATAATGGAAATTAAAGAAATAGATATAAACGTTACATAAATGATATCACTGCTTCTTAAAGCTCTTCAGAATTGGATAGATGTTGTCGAAAGCTTCATAAATTTCCTTGCGAACTTTTGCACCTGAAAGCATACATGCTATATGTATTTAAGCACATATATGTGTGAATAATATTGAAAGCAACAACACTTTAATTAGAAAAAAAACAAATAAAAAATTTTAAAAACTCAAATATTTATCTTTCCTTCTTATATTTTCTGTTGCTACCTCGATGAATACGCAATTAAAAATATAGAAATGAATTAAAAGTATAAAAATATTGGCTTTAATATTAAGAATATAACTTTAAGTTAGGTAAAATTTTATAATAATGAAGTAATGTATTAAAAAATCTTAAGACAGAAAAATCTCAAAAAGTATTTCTAAGAGTATATAAGATTAATGCGCGTTGCTGAAATTGTTATGATATAGAGAAAAAAAGTGAACAAGATGAGAAAGGGAGAGAATATAGAATCGTAAGACATAAATGTGCTCACCTGTTAATACTACTTTTCCTGAAACAAATATGAGCAATACAATTCGTGGTTTGACCATTCTGTATATCAGTCCAGGAAATAACTCTGGTTCATACGATGAGAATTGTCCATGAGATAACACTAAACCTTCTAATCTAATAGGGAACTTAACATCACAGCTGCCAACCATATTTTGGATCTTAAAGTCTAGAAATTTCGCCTATTTATCAAATAACAGTGACAATTAATAAAAAAGATAACAAGTTTACGTTGTGATTATCAGCCAGCATAAAAATTAATTCACAAACATCTTGTATTATATTTTAATTGCACAAATTGACTATACTTACAGGAAAATTTAGTTTCTGTATAATTCTTGCGTACTTTCTAGCAGCAAGACGTGAATCTCCTTCACTCTTCGCACCGGTACAAACCATTTTTCCGCTACTGAATATTAGTGCAGTAGTTCTAGGTTCTCTTATTCGCATAATGACAGCTGCAAATCTCTTTGGATTATACTCTGCGTTTCTAGCATGGAGAGCTATTTTCTTCAGGTCAAGCTTACAATTTAAGTTGACAGTAGACACAATATTCCTAAGGTAAAGCAGATATACAATGTGTAAAGCAATAAAGTATAAAAAGCTAATATGATTAATTTTCTTTATAAACTTACTGTAACTGTGGCAATATGCCTGGATCAGCAGAAGCTGGTGTCATCGGTGTCATTGGTCCTGGAGTTGAAGGACCTATCGACGCTGGTGCTATTTGATTATTTTGTGGTACTATTGGAGACATCATGTTTTGCTAAGAGATGAAAGAAACAACATGCAAGACATTGTATTTTATGATATTGCATGTTTCCTAACCGAATTGGTAAATTTGAAAAAACTTAATATACTGATATTGAGTTACCGGTGTTTGCGGTTGCATGAGACTCTGAGGTGTTGCAAATGCTGGAGTTGGTGCATACGCGTGCATGGTTTTCTGTGGCGTTATCATCAACATACTGCTCTGCATGTTAGGGCTCATTGAGTGCAACTGTTGCAGCTGATACTGCTGCGATTGTTGTTGTTGTTGCAGAGCATTAGGAAGGATTTGTTGATCCTCTTCTGGCTGATGCAGAGGTGTTCCAATACTGGGTATACTAAAGCCTGGACTAGGGAGCATCTGATCCATCTTGAGTGTTTAGTCAGTTAATCTATATACTGCAATCTGAGATTACAGTTGAATCTTCATGAAATGATTGATGTTTCACCTATATAAATTGCATACGGAATACAACCTAAAATAGTATTGATCATTAATTTCTCATGTCAGTTTTCTTCTTTCGGTTCAACAAAATCATCGTAATAATCATAAAATATTAAAAATATATAGAAATAAATCTCAAAACATTTTTCTACATAAATAATATATATATATATATATATATATATATATACACATGTAACCTCATTTTATAAACTTGATTCGAGTTATTTGCTAATTTCTTTTTGTTTATGAATGTACATAAGTGTACACAAGTATTATTTATAATCTTTGCGGCGGTTTACTTTCGATATGTATGATGTTTATATTCATTAAATGTTTATATCTTATATCAACAGTTAGCTTTAAGAAATAGTGTTTATGGAGTCATGTGGGCGCTCACCTGTTTTCTTTTCAAACAGTTCTCTCTCGACATATCAGATAAGCAAGCAGTTATTGCTGCATCCTTTAAAATATTCTCAAACTTACAATTAGCCGCTGTTCAACGTACGATGTCCATATACACATAGCAGTACTAATGGTCACTAATTCATTTGCTCTTTACAATTGAACTTTCTGCACCGGAGTAATCAAGAGTTCTGTTCGTTTTCGTTGCACCGCTGAACTAGTGCAATAAGTTGAAGCGAGATAAGTATCTGTTTTCTCACTTCAACTTATTGCACTAGTTCAGCGGTGCAGCGTAAACGAACAGACCTACCAGTGCAGCCGGTGCAGTAGTATAAAACAGATCCCTTGAATACTACCAGTACTAAAAATCTACAGTTCATGTGACGTATATTATAAATTTTCAGTGCTGGCAGTGAGTAATAGAACATAGGTCGTTTCATTCCCTTTATGTTTTTATACACGTGGTTGAAATTCCGTTTAATCTGATATGAAGTTAGAAGAAGATGTGGCTTATTCATGCAACACATGGAAAATTGACCTTATAAGGACAAGTTGCTGATAAATGAGAAATAGAGAAACAAGTATATAGGTAGTGTACATTATATTAGGAATAATTGTTCATATTTGCATATTAAGAATGCTCGTCCCATATCCCGTAATTTTGTCATTCTTTAATTTGTATTTATATAATTACTGTTTCTATGTATAAATACTAATTTTTCTTATTGGTAAAATATGAATTTTCAATTGCAAAATTACTGATGCTTGGTTACAATAAGCACAATTTCTCAAGTCTTTTTATAGCAATTTTTATACAATCATTTTCTGTGTGCATGATTATTGTTTCGTGTTAGAAAATTACATTGTTTTTTCGAACTTAAAAAACATAAGTTTTTATTTCCAGATAATGAAGTCACCTTTGTGAACAAACATCAAGAATGTGCCTTCACAAACTGTTCTCTTTGATGATCCTTAGCTGTTGCTAAATTTATATTATTAAGAAGCTTTAAATCAGTTTGTTACAAGATTTGGTTGAAGAGAATCTCATATATCTCCTGCGAGGATATTTTATAACAATGGCAAATCAGGTATGCGATGAATCTGCCAGAAATATGCGACTGATAAGTTCAGATGATGAAGGATCCATTCGATTGCAAGCCGACAATCGACAAGAACCTGTCGGTAAGGTACAGATGAGAAAACAACTTGGTCTCCTAGAAGGAGTGGCTATTATATTGGGAATTATATTTGGTTCAGGTACGTATTTGTTTCAAATTGAACTTAATAAATCAAAATTAACTAAAAATCATTTATTTCTTACAATTTTATATATTTTACAATCACACACATACACGTGTACATACAAAACAGCTTAAGCTTAAAATAGCTGAAACTAAACTTTAACTCAATACCTTATAACTTATGCTTATTACATATATTTATAGGCATTTTTATCACACCAAAGGGTGTTATACAAGAAGTAGGTAGTGTTGGACTATCATTAATCATATGGATATTATGTGGTTTGCTTTCTATGGTGGGTGCATTATGCTATGCTGAGTTAGGTACCAGTATACCTCGTAGCGGAGGAGATTACGCTTATATTCATGAAGCTTTTGGTGTTCTGCCTTCATTCTTGTACTTATGGGCCGCTAACTTAATTTTTGTGTAAGTTCCTCTCTGTATATATATGTAATAATCAAACTCTGTAATGATCAAGCAACTTGTTATTCAGGAAAATATGTCGCGATAATGTATATTTGTTTTCTACAGACCAACAACGAATGCTATCATGGGATTAACCGTTGCTCAATATGTCTTGCAACCATTTTTTCCCAATTGTAATGTTCCAGATGATTGTGTACGATTGATAGCTGCACTGAGTATATGTAAGTTGTTAGTATTGTTGCGAACTACCACTTATATAATTAATAACATTAATTAAATAGGAATAGTTGGATATAGTTATTAGTTAGATACAAATATATGATAATGAGTATCCATAGTACATCGTACAGCAAGTCTTGCAATTGGAATATTTGCTAGTCAATAAATATAGCTATTACGAAGCTACATTTATATGTATATATCACACACATTAGGAAAATTATAATATGTAAGAATTTATGGAGATTTCCTTAATTTACAAAATTTAAAATATCCGTCAGGTTTGCTAACTTTTATTAATTGCTACGACGTGAAAGAAACTTCGAAGATGCAAAATATATTTATGTTTGCGAAAATCGGAGCGCTGGTGATTATTATCGTAGCTGGATTGATCTGGCTTTGCATGGGTAAATTTCTTAATTGATACATTGTAATGTATTTTGATCAATATCTTTTCTTAATCAAGATTCGTTAATTAGGATACACGGAGAATTTCGAGGATACTTTCGAAAACACAAATTCTAGTCCTGGCAAGGTCGCCGTGGCATTTTATTCTGGCATATTCTCTTATTCGGGATGGAATTATCTTAATTTTATGACAGAGGAACTAAAAAATCCTTACAAGTAAGTCCATTGTTCGACGCTACAGCGACAAATTTTTTCTACTGCTATCTTCATGAAATTACATAAATTTCATTTCCTTTAATTGACGAACAAACAATTGTTGATCGAGCATTTTGTCTTATGTCGGAAATTTTTCTTAAATCTAATTGATTGATCGATAAAAAGAGACAAGATTAAGCGATAAGAAGAAAAAAGGATTAACTTTGCTTTATTTATTATGAAAACATTTAATTTCACGATTTATATGAACAGACAGTAGATTAACATTGATATTCACGTCTTATTCTCTTCTCGCGGGTGTTTTGTAGTAATTAAAGGCTTCGGCCATTAATCAAACCTTTACGTCTATTGTACCGACCTGATCGTATACTTCGCGTAATTGTGTACTTCTGTTGACTGAGCTTCATTATTAGGAATCTACCACGCGCGATTTACATATCACTGCCGTTGGTGACTTTCATCTACGTCATGGCCAACGTAGCTTACCTAGCGGTTCTAACGCCGACAGATATGATCGCTTCCAATGCCATCGCAGTGGTGAGTAGATTAAACTGATTTAACGCAATTTATGTTGCTCCGCTCGACATTTATGCATCAGAATCCAATGTTCCTGTTATTACTAGACTTTCGGCAATCGAGTGCTCGGATATTTAGCCTGGACCATATCGCTGATGGTGGCGGTGTCGGCCTTCGGCGGATTGAGCGTGCACATAATGACGTCGTCGAGAATGTGTTTCGTCGGTGCCAGAAACGGCCATTTCCCCTCGATGTTGAGCCACATCAACATGTCCAGACTGTCGCCTACGCCTGCCTTAGTATTTCTGGTTCGCAAATTTACCAAACATTGTCGTTAATATCCAGTGGTTCTTTCCTAAAATTAAAAAAATTAAGTACGTTCGAAACGGTTATAATTCTGTTTCGCGTTCACAGTGTATTCTGTCCCTGGTGATGCTATGCACAAGCGATATCATCGTACTGATCACGTACTGCAGCATAGTAGAATCGTTCTTCATTATGGTCTCCGTGGCTGGGATTTTGTGGTTACGATACAAACGGCCCAACATGGAACGGCCGATCAAGGTAACGCAAAGACGCACTGCTTTGAACGTACGGTGGTTTTCATACCGGGCAGTTTATATGCCCGGCATTAATGAACATCTTTTTGTTGCCAGGTCCCACTGTGGATACCTATAACATTCGTAGCGATATGCGCTTTTTTAGTTCTTGTGCCATGTTATGAAAGGCCGTACGAAGTCGGAATGGGTATTCTAATTACTGCCTCCGGTATACCCGCGTACTTTATCGGAGTAGTTTGGGAAAACAAGCCGTCGTGGTTCCAGAAAGTCAACGGTTCGTTTATTCTCGCAAATTCTCGATTAGTTCTATAGTTAAATCTACCTTTGTACTTATGTTCTTTGATGTGTTTTTTTAGTTAAAGCTACTCATACCATACAGAAGTTATTCCTGTCCGCGAGAGAGGAACGTGAAATCGATTAACCGATGGCAAGATTTGTAAAAGAGAAGTCGGCCCAGGCTCGAACTCGAGCTGTAGCGCCAAAATAGGAGATAGGAAGATTTGTAAATAAAATCCCACCGAATAAATGATCTTGCCAGGACGATCGAGGAATTTTATAAATTAAGAAATTGGAAAAATATCAGGGCTTAGTCCTGTGAGAATAGAGGAAAGATCCAAAGATTAAGTAAAAAAAGAGTATTCAGATGTTTGGAGAATCCTTAATAATGTAAGATGTTATAAAGTGCCGGATAATAAAAGGATAATAATGATCTGTTTACAAAGATTGAAGAGATAGATATGAGATATGCATTTTTTTTTATTACTTTTAATATTAACAAAGGTGTGTGTTTCGTGTGCTATGCAATGTTACATTATTCTTTGTATTGATTATACATATTGTTTTGTTGTTGATATGATTGTATACTAAAAAATTGTAAAATAATAATGAGGAAAAATTTTACGCAAACAATTTTTAAGAGTTGTATTTTTATAAAGAAATATATTGTAAACATTAATCGACAACTCAATTTCACTTCAGAGGTTAATGATTAAAAAATTGGAATCGAAGTTAAATTGAAAAAGCAGTGTCGCAGTCATTTTGGATTGTTAGAAAATTAGTGCGCCTCTATTATCTCCCCTTAATTTTTTGTTCTGCGGTTTCATCAATTTTCTACAGACTATAAGTGTCAGAAATAAATTAATCTCGCCCTTTACGCACCGATTTTCATTTAGTGTCTCTTCTACGCGAATTTCCTGCGCTAAGATGTGAATATATATAAATTACAAAAAGAATGTTCAGGCACGGGTTAAGGATTGTGCCAAAAGACATGATTATATCGCGTTTGTGAATACAAGAGAATATTTTTGTTACTTCTTGCTCAATTGTGGATTTACTCGGATATTTTCCAAGTTTCTCTCCGTCGACCTATTTAGGATAAACTGACTGTCTAATTTAAGTACCCTGCAATTATATACAATTTCGTTTGGTAGGACTTAGACTAAGTGATTATCCTGTTCTGGCTGCATGTCATCGTTTCGCGCAATTAGATAAACTTTCCGTCTACTTCTTTACCACAGTATTATCCAGAATTATCTCTCGCAAGTTGTAAGTCTGCAGTTTTTACGCAAGCTCCACACTAGGCTAATATCGTCCGCAATAAAATAGGTAACAAGACATTTTGTTGTAATTTTAGACAACTGGACTATAAGTAGTTCGACGCAAACTTTTATAAAAAATACAATTTTTGTCACTTAATTATTTCCATTATTATTAATTATATACATGTACATACATAAAATAACGGGGAGAACTATATTTTTCTCGCCTATCGTTTTATTTTACTAAGTGGGGCTGCACAAACAACAATTTTACATCATATTTACTGTAACGTAGTAAAAAGAGAAATGCAAGAAACAAATAGTTCTAATTTATTATAAATCCTTTGCATATGGTAACAGTTAAGTTAGCACTGTATATACACATTATGCATGAATATCTTCTGGATTGAACATTCCCTGCAAACAACAAATACAAGAATGAGGTTCTACAGAAAGAACCAAGGAAAAGGTAATCACGAGTGAAATTAAACGATACTTCACCACGATTGACAAATGATCGTGATTAAACTCGACGTACCTTGGCGCGTCTCAAGATGGAATCCTTACTAGCGTCGTAAGGATGATCTTTGCTCGGGATTTCTAATACAGCGGGTATGGGTTGAGTGTGACTGTCTATTACATGACGAATCATCTCAGCTACCTATGACAGAACGTAAGATTAAACAAAATAACATAATACTGCTTGCATATTTACAAAAGAAAAAATAAAATGAAATAATCATCTTTCTCATAAGCTAAAGTAAACATTGCAGTATTCAATATCGTAATTTTTTAACGTAAGTTGCTATGTGTCTGTATAGTACTGTAATTACCTCTAAATTAAAGTTGCAAATAACTTGCAATTAATTGAATTTAACTATTCGAATGAATAGTTTGAAATAGACGACTATTCAAACCATTTGAATGTCGCGAAATGGATACTGTTAGCAAATTAAAAAAAGAATAGAGATACTTCATTTTGTTTTACAGACGTAGTTATTTCAGTACCGCTTATCTTAGCTCGAGTACTTACATTCTGGTTAATAAGGATGATATCGATGTCATCGCGCTTGATAAATCGCTTAAAAGTGTCCTCTATTTCGCTTACCGGTGTATCTGTAAATGTTATCATTTGGGATTAATTGATGCCATTGCGACGTCTTCCAACTTATTGATAATATAATTACACATGTGTATATATAGTGTTCAACAATAAGTATGCTGATTATATAAAGTAATATTTTCCTTATTGAAAATTAGTTATTTTTCTTTCAAAAAACGTTGAGATATAAATTATCTATAAATTGCCAGCTATCAAAATAAAATAGCAGTTTTGTCAAATTATGTCTTAAGAATGACATCTCTTGCACAAGTCTTACAAAATGTTTTAATAGAATTTTCCTACATTTAATGGAGAAGCTTTAAAAATTACAAAAAATATAACATGAGATTAAATTTTAGATGAAAGAAACATATTGTATGAATTTTTAATCAGGAATATCACTTCATTGAAGCTGCGGCTACTTAATTAACATACAACATACAATTACATACTTTTATCAACAACCATAAAATTTGGCTGGCGATGTTTATTGATCTCTCCTACTCCACCCAGTAAGAAACCCACACATGTGTCCTGAAAGAATATCTATTAATTGAACTATTTTTGGCTCTGAATATTCCAGATGTATAGGTTTCTGAATATTCGTTTCTGTAAAAATTCAATATAGTCAAGCGAGAAAAGATATAAATAAACTTTATTTATAATAAAAATGTAAAATGTCTCAATTTAATATGTATACAATATGTTCTGTTTTACGGTGAGATTTATTATACACAGAATTATGAGAGTATCTGATTCATGATACTACTTTTTGCATATATGTGCACAATTGCATCTCTTGTTATTCTTTTATTTCATGCATTCACATATAAACTAAATATCAAGTCATGTATGCCAAAAACTATCAGTAAAATATATATCTCAGAAAGTACTCACACACTTTTCAATAATCATATGTCGAAATTTTTTATACAAAATGACAAGTTAAATTGATTTATATAAAAAAGAAAACAATTTTATTCTATTGAAAAAATTAGAGGTAATCTTAATGTGATATTAGTAGAGCTAAAATGTCAAAATAAGATTATAATACTGTCTCCCTTAAAATCAAACAACTTTTATTTAAAATATTTTGTATTTAAACAAGAAATAATTAAAATAATTTAAGTGATACATTAAGTAGTCCATCCTGTACACATGTACATACAGAATATGCGTGAGCGTGTGAAAAGCACGCTTACCTCATCGCCAATCACTGCTAGAAGTTTGCCTTTACCCGCAGAATGAAGTGCCATTTCCCTTATTTTTAAAGTAGATTAAATGTTTTGTCGATGTAATTTTAAAGGAAAGCAAATTTGATGTTGATCTCGCGTGACTTTACGGCCGTGCACATCAGCTGACTAGTCACACCCCCATGATGCGGCTCGTAGGATATTTCTCATTTGTGCGCATGCGTGAGTGACGTCATAGCCTGACGTATTGCGAGTACGATCCAACTGCAAACCATGGATCTAAGAATATATTCTTAGATCTATGCTATATTCAATAATGTAAGCCTTGAGCCATAAGAAATTAGCCAATCACAATCGATTATTTTTCTCACATTCGATTGTGATTTTGCGATCAATTTCTTACGGCTTAAAACTAACTACACTCCATTCCAAAATTTTACCCTGAAAAATTTAATTTCATATTACTTTACTTTCAATTATTAATCATTCCAAAACGGAAGAATTTATATCAAAAGAAAAAACGTTTGAACTCTTTGAGGGCTAACATTTTCTAAGATATTCGTTTTCATACTTCGTTCTTTATACTTACACTATTCCTCGATATTACTTATTTTACTATTTCTCGAAACGTTTTGTCATAAAATATTTATGTCTCTTTTTATTTAACAGTTTGACTATTGTTCGGCATACAAACTGATATATCACATGTTGAAATAACTATAATCTCCAACTTTTGTACTAAGTGATTTACATGTTCGTATGACGCAATAAGATAATTTACACCATTTAATCTGTGTAGTAAATGAAACATTGTTGCATACATTTAGGAATTATTGCAGGTGTGATATGGTATTATATAATCACATTGAAAGCCACATACAATACTAGGGTGGCGATTAAAAATAAGTTGAGAAAATTTGATGTTTCTTTATACGATATCAAAGTCTGCATCAAGGAACGTTAAATTTTAATTGATGTAGAACACGAGATGTAATATTATATATTTTAGAGAACAATGTTTAAAAACGGTTGCCGATAATTTTAGCACGATGATTATCTAATACAGAAATATGTATTGTTTAATTTATATCTCAACATTCATTGCAACAAATTATATACGTTTGGCGCTTAAACATTTAAAACAGAACATTTCCAAAACGAAGAACTTATTAAAATATGGGATATATAATAGAGGCCAAAGAATATTTTCTTGGTAAATTTTGTTTTGACCTTTCGAAACATGTTTACTATTGGCATTATTACCTTTGAGAAGACTCAAAAATCAGTCGGTATTTATAACAACGCTAAGAATATCGAAAATCCAAAATGTTTACAGATTAAGAATTTTCAATGATATTCAAACTTGAGACGAATATAATAATTATTGCGGAATATTTATAATTTAAATATCATGAAAAATTCATAATTATAGCGATCATCTAGGAAACTTGAGACAACTCAAAATTTTTTAACATATACGTTAACGGCGTTTAGCAGTTCGAGAAAGGTGAAAACAAAATTCAAGACAGCGTAGAATGCAAATTACATAGATACAGCCATATAAAACTTTAGCTATTATAATTGCTACGAGGGGTTTACCGTTATTGCATTAGGTTTTGTTTTAAACAAAATTACTTCTTAAAAAGAATTCTCAGTTTTCTGAATGAAATAAATATATTGAAGGCAACAGTGGAAAGAAAACTAGATTGATTGATAAAACTTACTTAAAAATTGTTTCATCATCACTTTTAACTTTGATAAGGATGGTAAACCCCTTGTACTTTTTATTTTTACACCTCTATTATTAAATAATTAATAGAGAGAAACATGTTTACATAAAATAAGTCACTATAACTTAGTTACCTTAAATAGTTTTTACATATTTTATTTGCTATACTTTTCATAATTTATTTAATGTTACATTAAAAATATCTTGAAAATAATGCACACTAGAACAAATGGATCTAAGTTGCATGCTAGTGAAGAATACATTGCATGATGGTAATTTTTTCGTAAATAGAAGTATTTTTCAAGGATATCTTAGTGTACTTACTTTACATACATTTTATTATTCTGCGTAAGAATGCTACATTAAGATAAGTGAAAAACAAGTCTCTTTAATATTTCATATTTTATATAAGACAGTGTGTGTGCATGTCAAAAGATATAAAATATGAGATATCTACTCGTGTATTTTATATGCAAACTTACAAAACAAAAAAAATTGATTTATAGACAGAAAAGATCTCATTATCGCCATACATTGCGTCCTTCTTTTATATTTTCCATCAGATCAGATTTTCTTTAGTACGCATTATTTTAGCGACACTTAAGATACTAATTTATAGTGACTTACGTTCTGCTTTACAATAATTACATAATTAAATGTAGAGTTACTTATTTCTAGGGAATATTATTTCTCAGTCTCCTTTACATACATACTTGCATATGCATTTTCCAGTGTGCATATGCAACTGTGTGCACGCCTGCACCTATCAATTATTTATATAGAAACAACGGAAGCAAGATTCCTTATAATTTCTTCCTATTTTTTTTTTCATACATGCATATTAAATGACTCTACATAAGGCGAGACAATTACATCCGGTTACTCGCTTTGCATCACGGCAAATACATTTGGTACGCTTGAAAACTTAAGAAAAAATTATCGCAACCGGTATCAGTCTATTCTAACGATCAAGTACGGCAAAAACAGACATTTTTTTAAAGCGAATATAATATTTTGCATAATTTCATAATTCCTCTAATAATCTCTTAGATATCTTATTCGCTATGAAAACATTTCCTTTCGTAGACGTCTCTTAGCAAGGTACAGAGTGTTTAAATTAAAAGAAAAAAAATAAAAAAATAAATAAAAAACTTTTAGGTTTCAAATAGATTTACAATGTGTTAAATTTAACGCAATTTCATTATTATTCAATATATTACACGTTATCACAGTTTGGAACGCAGTCCGATGTTCAAATGATAGAATTTGTTTTTGATTGATTTTTAGAAGATTCTTAAATTCTCTCACTGGATCATCGACTGTATTCTAAATCGCAAAGAGAGGAAAGTGCCTCGAATCGTTTTGAAAGCAAGTGTGTACGTTCAATTAATGGAAAAAAAGAACTCCCCCTCAATTCCGGTTACGATTATTTTTTCATCGTTCCCTTCTTATGTATGCGTGTAGTGAGTTAATGAATGAGTGAATGTATGTATGTATGTATGCGTAGTATTTTACATTATTTATAAAAACAACTGCCCCTACAAATCAGGATTCCATCGCTAAATAATATGACATCAATTAAAGCGAAATCTGTCTCACTTTAGTCTTAAGTTTAAATTAAAAACTAAAGGCACTTGTGCTACAATATACACTTTCCAACCATATGCATCCCTGAGTCATATCGGGGCTTCACGACGTAATCTGTATTTTGCTAATAGTAGCATAAAAATAAATAATTTATAATTGCTCGATACATGTATATAATGGCGCATAAATTAAACTTATCATACCCGTAATAGCTACTTGAACATCACATTGAAGTAGTTTCCACGTTGAGGCCGCTCAAGATGAGACACCGTTCTTGCAGGCGCTTTATGTGCTCCATGAGACATGCGTTTTCTATGTATAAATCCTTCACTAATATGTCAGTACTGGCTAGTCTGTCGGCCTGTTAAATAAGCCACACACATGTAACCATAAATATAACATAATAATTACACATTCGCGCGCACGCGCGTGTGTGTGCGTATTTCATGCTATCGTACCTGATCAACGGTTGTTTGAACTTGCACTTGGAGCCTTTCTTGAGTATTACGAAGAAGGCACTGTAATTCAAGCAATTCTGTCTGATGTTGCGTCATAATACCTGCAACAGTAAAATTACATGCACAATAGCTTTCCCGTGGAGAGTTTTTAAGACATAAATAATAAAATAGGGAAAAAGAAACGAAAGGTCAAGCGTGCAGGATTGATATCTCAGGAAAATTGTCTCATTGTAAGATCTTAAAATATGCAAAGGGACCTACGTTGTAAGACTTTCTCAACTTGCTGCTGCTGCCGTTTGAAATAATGCTGCAATTGCCGCTTCTTGCGTTCTTGTGCGTAAAGTTTCATATTCAGACTCTGCAAGACGCTCGGGTCGATGCAACACATACGTTGCTGCGTGTTGTTCTGCGCACAGTGGCAACTGACTCCGTTCAAACTTTGCATCAGCACATTCTGCATCCATGCAAAATCCGGATCACGCTTATCTCCCTCCTTTACTTTAGCACCAACATGTGAGCCTTTTTGATATACTTGGTTTCTTTTATCCTTATGCGTACTTTTTATTTCCTTCGTGGAACACTCGTCGCGTGTAATATTCAAACTATAACCATCGGTTTGATCCTCTTGTTTAATTAACCTATTGGAATCGTTGGACGACGGATGTTCCGAGGTGTAATACGTTTGATTGTTTGCGTCGGACGTTTGTAGATCCAAATTCTCGTTCATTGAGGGGATGCTAGACGCGCTGGAAGATTTGCAGTGCGACAGATTCGACAATGTTCGCAAAGAGATCTCGTCCGGCACCTGAACCCAGGAATCATTCGTGGCTAGCTGCTCCGCCAATCTTAATTTCTCACGCAGGTCCCCTATCTCCATATTTTTCTGGGAAATCTCGTTTTCAGCTTTTCCCTTCCATTTCTCAAATTCCTCTTCAAGATCTATATACTGCAACATTATATCATATGTAAGATACGTCAGTCGAGACAATGTCAATTGAGTGGTTTAAAAAAAATTTCTCTCTTCTCTTACATATGCGTATATGTATATGTTACTTATATATATATATATATATATATATAAATACTCATGTAAAATATAAAAATGTTCCATCTTACCTGTTGTTCCAAGTTAAACTTTTCATCTATCGGGGATAAGCGGCCGTTATTCTTCGACTTATCCAGAGGGCTAATTAACTCTTCGTACTCAGCTATCTTGTTAATAAGCTCGGCAAGCTTGTCGTCGCTGATCTTCTGTTCCTGCTCAAAGAGTTGCCTCTCTTCCTCCAGTTTAGCCGCCCAATAATCCTCGCATTCTTCATACTCGGTTCTCAGCAGGTCCAGGCTACGTTCGAGTTCCGAGCAGCGTTCCGTCAACTGCTTCTTCTCCGTCGCATGTTTCGCCTCGAGCTCTTGCAGCCTTGCGTGTGCCGAGGCATTCCTCGGAGCATTCTCGACCTCGGCAACGTTCGAGGAGCTATCCTTTTCCTTGCTGCTCTTCCACGCTTCCGCGGAATGTTCTTCTTTCCGCGGTGGATAATCTCTGAGGCTTGTCGTCTTGCTTTGCACGGCACTCTTCAAGTCTTGATCGGTGAGATCGTCGAGATCATCCTCCGCGCTGTTCGACGTTGCCGTACGCTTCGCCGAGAGCGATTTCGGCACCTTGGAAACGACCAAGTCCCGCAGTGACTCGTGGACGCGTTCCTCACACTCCATCTCGAGCTCCGACGCTATACTCTTGCCGAAATCTCGTGTGGAGGAATGCAGCGGAAGATCCGATTGCAAGTTGCCGATCAATCTTGCCACATTGTCGCTCAAAGCACATTTTTCCGAGGCGCATTTCGTATTCGCCATTAACGCATCCTCCAGATCTTTCACAATCATATCTCTGAACTTTCCAAAGTCTACCGTAGCAGAACGTGAAGTATCGAGCTGTCCTTCGACCGGTGAGAAGTTGAACTCAAACGGAACTCTCGTATCGATCGGTCGGGCGTCTTGGAACGATTGTGTCGTCGTTACGTGACTCTCATCCGGAGTCTCATCCAATTGTAGATCGTACGCCAGAGACGACGGCGCGTCGTTCTGCCTCGTGTCGTTAGCGTGACACTTCAAGGTCTCCAGTTCCGCACTGAGCTCGTCGTTTTGGTCTCGCAGTAGGGTCACTTCCGATTGCAACTGTTTGATGCGATCGACAAAGAAGTCCACCTGTTCCTGCTGCTTCGCCTCTAAACTCTGTATCTCATCTTGCTCCGCGTCTAACATCTTCATCCGCGTTAACAATTCGTTGTTGGATTGCCTCAGCTTCTCAATCTGGCCTAGGAGAGTGCCGTTCTCCGCCTCGAGCACTTGATTGTCTTGCAATGTGTTTATCAATTTGTTTTTCATGTCGTGATTCTCCTTCTGCAAATGCTGCAATTGGTCGTCCTTGGATTTTAAAGCCGCGGCGTCCATTTCCCGCTCGATGCTGAGCTCCTTCGTGATCTCGGCATAACGCTGTTGACTCTGTTTCTGCAGACTTTCCTTCGTCTTCTCCAATTGCGCCTGATGCTCGTCGATCTCCTGTGCTAACAAATTCGCCCGTTCATTAGCCTCCAACATGTCGATGCGCATTTTCTCCTTCTCCGCTTTCATATTCTCTATCAGGACGTTCAGATTGCGTTGCTCGTTCTGGTAAAGCGTAAGCATCTCTCGTAGTAAGCTGATGTGAGATTGGATGGTGTCGTCGTCTAACGAATCGTTCAGGCTCTTCAGCTCGTCACATATGATGCCTGTTACCTCCACAAGACTGGTATCTAAGATACTGAGATCTCTGCTGGGCAATATCGTTGATACGCGAGAAACGCCAGCAACTTCCTCCTTATCTGTATTCTTGTTACCCTCCATGGAATCAGTCCCATGAGGCTCGTATACATTGAAATCTAATGTACTTACACTACAGTTCACAATACTGCTGTGAGATTCGTTATGCTCCCGCAAGGCCTCCGTTCTTCTCTTCTTTTGAAATATAATTACAAACTCCTCGAAGCTAATCAAGCCGTCGCAGTTCTGGTCGAGTCTCTCAAAGATAAATTCTGTGATCTGCCTCGGAAGTTCTGGAATTCCTGCGCAACTCAATATAAATTGTATCGCTGTAGAATCTGTATAATCCCTCAGATAAATCTTGATCTTCTCCCAAAAGCGCATCAGTTTATTCTCATCCATAGTAAGTCTGGCCTCCATCTCTTGAAGATGAATTTTTGATACGTTATCAATCGATGTCGAGAGCTCGCTCTTTTTAACATCGATATTACATGTATTCAAATTATAATAAGGTTGTACAATACATTGCCTATCGGTAACTAATTCTTGGAACTTTCTCAACAGGAGCAGTAAACCATCCCGAAATTCCTGGAAGGATATAGTTTGCTTGTCTGCATGTTTGCAGATGCAGGATTTTAATTCTTCGGTTAATCCATCGAGATGTAATTTGCTGCATATAGAAGACAGGTTGTTTTCTTCGAGTTCGTCCTTTCCTTTTGTCAAGCAACTTTCAAATACAGCATAAAGCTGTTGTTCATAAAGATCACTGTTGTGCTCACCCATGCCTCTTTCTCATGGTTTTCCCAAGCTTAGCTCAATTATACTATTTATAGTGCACCTGCAAGCCTAATAATAGTATATTATATTATATTAAGAAACAGAGATTAAACGACAAATAGCATATGTGTGTGTATGTGTGTGAAACAGAGCTTAGCCGAATTATTTTATAATCATTGATATCAACGAAATACGTACGTGCGAAGTATCTATGCAAAAATACAACACAACGTCGTAAAGGTCAATCAATTGTTGTCATAGATCATCATAACCTACTTATTAACTCCAGCATTTATTATAGCACGTTTGCGTACATATCTCGTAAGCAATTCTTTAGTTTCTAACACGAATGATCGAATGATGAAGTAGATACGACAGATATTACGAACCAGTAGCTAATTCTGATCAACAGCAATTGCTGTTCTCAAGAACCGTTTTTGCATAGATGTGCTTTATCTGACAGTAGAAGGACGCTACTACAAATCAAAGCAGAATTGGGTTGACGAGGCAGAGTACTGTTTCAACCTTTGACTATAGAAATATAGATTGCCAGTAGCTAACTTCAGACTTATAGCCAGATATGTCGCATCACCAAGCGAGGAGTACGAGAACTAAAGTGTCATTATTAAATATGGTAGAAATACTATTTCGTTCAAGGCTGTAATTGCATATATTACTTTTCCGCGTATATAAAGTATATCTTACGACGCATGTAGTATAGGTATTCTCAGAGTATATATTATTGGAGTATATGGAGTATATATTATATAAAGCTATATATATATATATATGTATATTTTTTTTTCTCTGTACACATTTGAAATATAAATTATATATGTATTATATTTGCATAATTAAATCACCTATTTTTTTTTGGCTATCAAGAACTTTAAAGCATGGGATACCTAATGATTCGTCGATGTAAATAATAAAATAACACTTGTAATATTGTAATGTTCTGTATAAGTTGTTTTTTTCGCATATGGATTATGATATATATTGAAATATTAAAGTTCTGCCGTAGTCGCTGTGACTGTCCTTGTGTAATTGTTGACGTAAGGTTGTTCGAGTAAAAGAGAAATGTTCGTCCAATTTTTTTTTTACAAGTGTGACGAATAGATTATAAATGTCACTTTGTGGATATATCTTTTTATGTGAAAGTATAACGCAAAGAATCCTGGAATGTGTTTTCTTGCTTTTGACGTCATTAAACAAGGATAGTCATAGCGACTACATCGGAGAATATTATTTCTACTAGTAACTTGAAACAGTTTTACTTAATGTAAGTCAAGTATTTTATTATGCAACTTTTGTAACAAAAAACAATACGAGATCTTTTCTCTTGAAAGTTATAAATACATAAATACATGAGAAAAACTGTTAGAAAAAAAGGTGAATGTATATATTAAGAAATTGTTTTAAGGCTATTACAAACAGAAAATTTAATTTGTCATTGATCTATTTGAATTAAATAGTTGTTAAACTTATGCCTACTTCATCATACAGTTCATCCTTGTTACCAGGATAATTTTCTAAAATACAGTCTATTATCTCAGTGCATATTCTTTTCCTTTTCTGATATTCGCGTAAGTTTTCATCTAATTCCGTTTGGGTCTTCCTTTTAGATTCCTGTAAGTCTGAGCTAGTTGTTTTCATTACTGCATTTAATTTCTGTGTTAACTGCTCTATATTTTGTTGTAAAATAATCTTTTCTCTTTCTGCATCTACCAGTGTTAGACTGGACTTTAAAGAGGATAGTAGAACTTCCTTGTCTTTAATTTGTTTCATAATCTCTTGATACTTGCTTTCGATTTCGTTGGAATGAGATTGTAATTCTTTATTAATTCTCAGTAATTCATCTGTATCATGTGCTGAATCTTGGACAATGCAATATATTTTCTGTTTACTATAAACCTAATATATATAAAAAATGAGAACAAATTAATATTCCCAGAATATATCTTTGTAAATATACTATATTATAAAATTTTTTAACATACTTTCTCAAACAATTTCCCATCGGCTACAAGTTCATCCATAACCTTTTGAACTATAGATTTGCTATATTCGTTACATAAATTTGTAACTACATCGTTTACGCTGTAGGGTCTGTTTTGTATCTTCATGTAATAATATACAATATTCTTAGCCATTGTTGTACCTTTTCATCTAATAAATGAAATAATTAAAATATACATAAATATACAACATACATATATATATATTTATATTAATGTATATTATATATATATAAGCACTTAATATAGGTAAATAATTATACGAACGTTAAATACTGAATTTGAAAATACAATTGTCTTTTTAACCTGCTCTGTAACCTTAGTTAGTTCCTTTTAGCCATTGAATAAAGAATACAAGGAAGGAGCATGTGGTAAAAATACGTGGTGAGGGGTGTGAACGACGTGACGTAAAACTATATTCAAAACGATTACTAATGAGTGCGTTCGGGGAGATATCACTAGCGCTATAGACGCAAACACTAAGTTGCGTTCGGGAATCCACAATGTGTGCACATCACTAAACACATTGCTAAGTAACGGCACGTCAACCATCGTCAAACTGTCGACGAATTGGTATAAAAGAGTGCTCCGCCACGAGAGAGAAGCCGATTCCACCGGCGTCAATAGGTTCGTTAAGATCGAAGATTGCTCCGGATCCCGATCCTTAGGTCAAGGAACCGAGACGGTGCGTTCGTCGCCTCTGCCGCCCGTTCGCAGCCTTCGAATCTGACCATCCTATCTGCCGGTAAGAACGAGGACGTGTGATCGCAGTTTCTCCCGTGGAAGTCGCGTGTACCGGGTCTGCCACATCGGAGCAGTGCTTTCGCTGTCTCCACCGGGATTTACCAGTCCTCTTGTCCACCGGCCGACCGGCCTGGGAATCACGACAAGTTCGGGAATGGTGTATTCACCGAGTCCTCTCGGCCTCGTCGCTAATCGCTGCTCTCGTTAATGCTATCGAGTCGCGATGTACCGTGTGATGTTAAACGGAGAAAATATTTGAGCTTTTCTTCATATAAATTTTCTCCAAATTTATCATATTTTCTAGTAATGCAGGAACAGAAGCTATCAGTAGAATTTATTTTGCTAAAGACTATAGTAAGTTTTCTAATTGCACATTTTATTTCCTGAAATATAAATAGCATGTATAAACCGGAAAGCTAATGAATTAGGACAAGGGAAAATGTCGGTGTGTTCTTTGGTTATACAATTTTATAGTAACTTTTATTACAAAATTCTCCCTGTGTACGAAAAGGGTAATCATGATCACACTTCGTGTAACATCGGAATCAGTGGTCACCTGCTGCATCTATCCTCGTGATCAAGACGAGATCATAAATTTACCATCCACCGTTAGGATAGGACTAGTCGTACTGCACTAGTCGTATGGTCATACTACTTGATAACACGGGTTTGAGTCTTGGCTGTGGTATAGTTCGAATTTCTACTGAACAGGGTTCGAGTCACGACTATGTGACCTACTCGGGTTGATTTTATCAGTATCAGGGTTTCTACTTATGAATCGCCATTGTTTCTACCGACAAATTGAGGTCGCACGGTCACGACTCGATGATAAGTCAGAGGCTGACTTTTTCCACTTCCAAGTAGCGTACTCATTAGTAGGTCAGACGAGCTTGTAACTTGGAACCGCACGACGTTATTGATTCCTAACAACTGTTGTGAGTCAAAAGACTTTTTATTTATAAGTACATATCACGATTCAGTTAAATTTCAAACGACATTTTATTTTAATTTATTTTCAACTAATACACGACTCAACGACATAGCAGACGATTTTTAATTCTTCAATCGCATGACCGAACAACGGATAGGATACATTTTTCCAGCTATATATTTAATAACATACACGGAGAAAAATATTTTATTGACATAGCAAATTCGTCAGTTATTGCGGTGACAATGAGAAATTTGTTACAAAGAGAAAATAATTTTGCTGTTGTAACAAAACGTCGTGAGAGCGATAAAATTTAATTAGTATAATCAAATTATTTTGTTGTCCATATATTCAGCAAAAGGAACTAATACTTTTAACAAATGTTTCTGCTATATAAATAAATTTTCTTGCTGCCCAAATAAATCTTTCTGCTGTCATCACAGCAACCGATAAACTTGCTACACTAGCAAAACATTTCTCTCTATGCACAAAATAAACTTTTTTTATTATATAGAAGAAACAATTTTTATATATTAATATATTATATTGGATCTTTTCGAGATCTGGAAGTAAATTATATCATTATATATTTATTGTATTAGGAAAGCGTGACATATTTAAGCAATATATCCGAATAATCGAATATCTAAATATAGATATGTATTTAAATATATGTATTTAAATATATATCTAAATATTGAACAGTCAAAAAATTCGCGCGGTTTTCTCATTCCACATATAATACACGAAATTGCGAAGAAAATGAGAAGTAAATCGAATGTTTGCGAATGCTTACGGAATGGTATTATCCCGTCATATTTCGCGGGCGCGCGCCTTATTATGAACGCGGCGTTGAAGTTTCATTAACTTTCATATCGATCGTGCGCTTGGGAACCCAAACACTGTCAGAAATTATACCGGCGTTCCACGGAACTTCCCCCCGCACTGCCACTTTCCGCTATAAACAGATTAATTATTTGAGAGCCCGATATCTCGAGCGCGCTCTCAGCGAGGACTCACTTCGCAATTTCAATCGAGTAACGCCGTTCGCAAGCGGCATAAGCAACCGATGATCACAATGGAAGGCGAAGCGAACCGTTCCATGAACTACGGTCCCTCCGGGGTTCCTGTTACAACGGAATGATTTCGAGTTTGCCCCATTGCCGCGATGATCGTACCGAAACTTCTGCTCGAATGCCGAGCGCCGGAACGCGAGAGACATAAAAGAAGGCACGTCAAGGCCGTCGGCCGTTCTCATTCATTGGACCCTCCACTTTTTCCGTCTTTATCTCTCTCTCTCTCTCTCTTTCTTTGTGTCTCTCTTTCTCTTTCTCTCTTTCTCGGCGAAATAAATTATAGCCTACTAGAGAGTCATATGTAGATATAGTAAGGTGCGCCGAGCTATTTCGGCCAGCCGTAACTCATATTTACGACCAATGGGAGTTACGCCAACTTTAAGAGGCTGCATAATGAAATCCAGTGGTAGAACCCCCCTCCCCCCCTCCCTCTTCGTCCTCTCTTCTCATCCTACAGCTAGCAGTTCGCATCCTCAGTTCGCACACTTTTCCACCTATGGCTTCATTTTTACCCTCCTACCTCGCTTTCCACGCCACGCTCCGCTTCGTCTTTGACGCCTATGAGCCTCCATCCTCCTAATATTCGCACCCTCGCCGGAAAAGGGGCAAGACGATATATCACTCGACTTCGCCGGTCGCCTCGCCTCGGCTCGGGGAAGCTCCGTGAAAAGCTCACGGAGCTGGAGATACGGCTGTGGTACCGGAAGGAATGGTAGCGCGTCCTCGAGAACACCCTCGAGGACAGCGTCGAGTAGACACAGATTTTCGTGCAAACGGTGTAACGGCTTCCCCCACGTTACCGATCAAACAGTGAAGTGGATGGACCGACGAATCGTCGAGATACCGCTGCACGTGAAAAGGAAACTTCACCGAGTACAAAATGTTGTTTCTGCCGTGTACCTACACGGAGAAAAAACAATTGCAGTTCGTATAACAGTACGGGGTCAGATCGAAAAACACGCCGACCGAGGAACGATATCTTTGTTATAGTAATCGAAAATATTCCTCCGAACATTCGGCCCAGGTTGAAATTCGATTGAGATAACTGAGAACAATTGGCTGAATAGAAACGTCCTGCGAGAATCTTCTTGCCCTTAGTCCTCCCAAAACTGAGTTTTTGTCCGGCCTCCGAATAACACGAAGAGAATTTTTCTTCCGTGTACGAGGTAAAACCAATTCTCGGATATGTAGCTAGACCTGAGTACATTCTCATTATTTTGTTTCTTAATGAATATGAATATTTAAACTTTCAACATAGAATATATTATATATATATATATATATATATATATGTATTTATATATATTCATGGTCGAAAGTTTAAATATTCGTAGTTAAAAACCGAAACAACAAGAGTGTCCGGATAATGATATTTTTATTTTATTTCTCGCGACAGTATTAACACGTTAACTGCTGGAATATGTAAGTCGGTACTATAATATCGCTACGCTTCGCTAATTGACAAACTGTGGATTTTGAATTGAAAAAATTATTAATTAGAAAAAAATATATAGAATGCAATCAATTGCAGATAACGAATAAAATATGCAGCCAACACAATCAGTCAACGAGCTAACGAATATATGCATCGTGAATTGCATTTATTTACCCGTGTCTTTCTTCGGTGATTTAAACCTCTCGGTCAAACATAGAAGTAAATCAATGGAAACCAACGTGGCCGCTAACGTGTTAATTAATTTTCACCGAAAAATGCGTCGTTTTTCCGAGGGTCGACAAAGAAGAGGCGAACACGGCACAACGAGCGTGATTGATGCGCTTGTCGTACGATCGGGTGGGTTGACGGGGGATGCTGTTACCTCAATCTAAAGTTTACGTGAAATTCCTTGGTGTTGATCAAACGTGTGTGCCGCAAAGGGTCGAGCATTAGAACCATTCATTGTCTATGCGTACTCCGCTGCGGCGCCATCCATTTTATTCCAACGTGTAGTTTCGCAGCTTTAACCGGCGCCGCATCGGTTCGCACCGTAATTGCTATCCGCTCTCTCTCTCTCTCTCTCTCTAAGGCCTTGTGCACATCGGCAAGTGACAGGGCCGCCGACGGAGGGCTTGTTTATCAAGCCGAATCGAAATGCGTGTTGCAATTCTCCGTTGCGAGTTCGCGCTCGACGATAATTCGCAAAGCCTCGCTTCGCGCGTCCGTGGAAGAAGCGGTCTCTGCCCTCTCGTCGTCTCCAGGAGTTACGCGGAGCTACTGGAGTATTATCTTTTGACACGATTCGAGTTTATCTACACGAGAGCGCGGGAGTAATGTTGTCGTTCGACAGTATCCGGGCCTGAATTCCACTTGACGAACAGCCGGCACCCGGTTTATTCGACTCCCTCGGCGACTTCGCCGACTTCCGCGACTATTCGCCGATGTGCACGCGGTTTAACGATCGCAACGACCCAGCCTCACGACCGAGATCCATCTTCCGGGGGACGTGTCGGTCCCCGTAAACAAATAACGAACGCTCGATTACCAGCTCGATCCGCGGGGTTCCCCGTCGTAGCGTCGTCGCGCTAGGTATATCGTCGAGTATTTGCTCCGGCTGACGGGTGCAACGCTCGCAAGTGGAAAACCAGCCAGCCAGCCAGCCAA